AAAAAAAAAAAAAAAAAAAAATCACTGAGTTCAGACCTTTCCTGAAGGTGATTGTAGTCTAACACATAAGCCTTTATAATTTGACATATTGTGTATTAAACCTCTAAGGTAGAAGAGAACATTTCCTTCTAATTCTATTTGTATGCCCACTTCCACCCTGAGTACTACAAGACACTCTATCAATAGCCTTCATCTGTGAGGACACTGGATGAGCAGGCCAAGCCCTGAGGACACCAACCTCACAGCACCAGTAACTGCACAAATGTCAGCAAACATTGCTCACCCCAGTGTATCTCACATACTAGGAGAGCCACAGCCAGAAAATAATTTCAGGGGGAATAAGGACCCTGAATTTATATAGATGGAGTAAGAAGATAGCAATAGTGAAGAGGGAAATAATATAATTTCTTTTGGACTATCCATTACGGTTTATGTCTGGGTGTCCCCCCAAGCCTCTTAGGATCTTGGGTGGAGTTTGGAAGGTGACTATTCCCATGGGACATGACAATCATTAATGCATTAGTCTATTGATGAGTTTGCAGCTAAATGGGATGCTGGGAAGCAAAGCCTGGTCGGAGAAGGGGAACCTGGGAGCAAAGCTTAGAAGAGTCTCTCTCTCTCTTCCTCCTGCTCTGTCCCCTGCCTGCTTCATCTTCCATGCCATGAACAATTCCCTCTCCTGTGCCACACTCTGCTGCAGTGCCACCCTGCTGTGGGCAAGCCCACTGTGGACTTTATAAACTGTGAGCGAAAATAAACTCTTTCCTCCTTGCAATGTTGGGAGTTGAAAATTGTGTTTCGTCAATCAAAAAGTCACTGAATCGCTACCTAGATGTCATAAAACTCACTAGCACACAAGGCAGGACACTTCGAGAGTTTCCAAAATCTCTACATGTACTATAACACAGGAAAATAAATTAGAAACTAAATGAAAACAGCAAAATACAAGAATAATGGAGTTGATAGACCCAGAGTGCAGACCCGGTGAGTGAGTGAGACCGCTTGGGACCGCTGGATCCTGAATAGAACCACAGCGCAGGCCCCAACTGTGAGTGAGACCAGCCAGGGCCAACGGATCCTGAATAGAACCAGAGCACAGGCCTGGCGTGGAACCCTTCAGCAGAAGTCCCTGCAAAGAGGCTAGAGGCAAGACCCACC